TACTAGGTTAGAACTTGTTTGTCCTCGGTAATAATCAACCTGATCAGAATGAAGTCCCATTCAATGGCTTGCCAAGAAAGGATAAGAACAGCAGCTGAAAGGAACCAAATCGCATCCCTGACAAATAAATGTCAACTGCAGAACAAACGCTGAACATCTGAAAGCCAGAGGAACACAAGAATAAAAGAAAAAGCAATTCTAATGATTGATAAAGTACCACGTTGGCTCCCAGCAGTACCAGAACCAAAAAAGGGAATTCATGCACTGAACTCCAGAGTTCACCACTACAGCGGGACAGAAGGCGTGAGCATCTCATCTCTAGCCTAGAAATGGAGATTCTGTAGAATGGAACAGGTATATATATATATGTTCAGTCAGAATGGCATATGCCACCCATGAGGGCCGTGCTCAACAGCTAGACACTGGGGCAGCAGACAGGGAACTACCCAGACACCACCAGTCCAGAGGCAGAAAGCTGAAGTTTTCTACAAATTATCCTGGTCGACTATAAATGGCTTTTTACTGACATACAGTTTTTGTTTTTAGTTATTTCTAACTACTACAGAAAAACCAGACACACAAATGGAGTACCTTACAATGTTTCAATATGCATAATAAGTAAGTCAGGTAAAACAGCACCCTATCTTCAAATACTGCCCTTTTATGGTGAATTATGAACTACTTTCTTACTCTGAAATGCACTATATATTACTATCATCTCTAAGCATCCTACTATGCAAAATCCCAGGAGAATGCCTTGGTCTTATCCAGCTATAAATACGGTTTCTACTGAAAGGAATTTACTTAGCGGTCTTTCGTACTTTGTACTTGCTGGGGATGTAGAAGCAGCATACTCGAGATGCAGGCCAAGTACTTCTCATGACATGAGGTCAGTAGCTGGAAGAGCATCAAAAGATCAAATTGTATCTGAGTTCTCCTAAGACACAGAAAGTTACAAAACTCTAAGCGATTAGCTGGCAAACAGGAATTTGAAGGAAGGCGGCTGAGCAAAACACTTACAAAAATGTATCATGTGCTTCAGAAAATTACACTATAATCTACTGCAACCGCATCTTTTATTTGAAACTAACATGTTACAAAATAACAATATTACAGGCTTTCCAGCAAGAGGTGTATTTTGTATTCTCTCAGGTTTTGCACTGTCTCTTACTACGAGCATAGAGCCATCTGTACCAGGCATCAAGGTTATCAAATTGTCTTAGGCTATTAGAACCAGGAAGCAAAACAGAGAGTAAATATATCAAGATTAGTGATATCAGAGAGGCTTATCACATGTTGCTTAACTAAATAGGAGCCTGGGCTATCAGATTCTTTGTTTTCAACTGGACTGCCTTTCATGAGGGAAAAAAAAGACTTCTGTTGTTCCTTTTTGGGATCAACCAGCACATGAATAAAATATCTAATACTAATAAGAAATAAAGAAGCTTGTTCACAAAAGCTTTTATTCATGTTGTTATTAATTAGCTGAAAATGTAAAACTTATCTACTTATTTTCTGATAATCTCTATGGGACAGATGGCATTGGTACAGGGCTGGAATGTAGTTCTTTACTTCCCAGCCCATGATATGGTTGTAAAGAAGTCCCTGAGCGTTTTATAGAACCTGATTTCATATGATCTGGTCAAGCTAGGAAAAATACTGCTACCGGAAGAACAAAAACATACAATTCTTGTAGTGAGAAAATTATGAAATCCCTACTTTTTCCATCCTTAAATGACTGGGAGAGGATTAAGCCACTGGCCTGAACTAATTGCCCTGGTTAAGAAAAAGAACTGCGCCAGAAGGCACTTTTTTCAAGGAAGCCAGGCGACACTCAGCACCACACCGTACACATTAGTAACCTAAGAGCACGGAAAGCATGCAGAGATGCAAGAGAATAAAGTCAGAACTACATTTCCAATTGACCAAAATGCACCAAATTACTAAATATATTGATAGAGTTCCTTCTCCGTAAGTCTCAAGAAAGCTGTTCCACACAAACTCTTATTACTAAATTTCAAAACCTGTTAGATATCTTGAGAGAATTAAACAACAACAGATAAGGAACTCTGGGAAAGTCCACGCTTATTAAATAATTTTAAAACCTAGTTGCCTTTATATAATCTGAAGCTTCAGATTGGGAGGGGGAGCGTGTTCTACAGCGACACCTTCTGGTAAGTGGTAGGACAGAAGCAAGTCACAGGCAAAACAGGCAGAGGGTGGCAAGTTAGGAGAGTGGGAGCAAAGGTGGGTGTCACCGGGTGCCAGTCCCTCTGTACTACATCAGAAGCCCAAAGACTCGCATGAGTCCATTCCTCAAAAGCTTTCCCAATCGGTAACCATGAAGAAGGCTTTTCCTAGCCCCAACTGACCAAACAAATAACATTTTAAAGGCAAGTTAAAGATGCCCAAACACTCCTTCCTTTTGTATTCTAAGGAGACTGGAAAATGTAAAATGAAAATCGACTTTATCACTTCTCAATTGAGTTAAACATAATGAAAGCAGAAGCCTACTTTAAAGTATTTCTTTCTAAAAACACTATCTCCCATCCCCCACACCATACTTTAATCTAAGAACTAATGAGTCATGTGACCAATGTCACCACTGGCATTGGATTTTCAATGGTAAAGACTTAGAGTGTTTACTTTTCAAAGTAAAATTTACTAATGTGCTATTTCAAGCATATTCTAGCCAAAGGCCAATCAGTTAAGGGCAGAAGCAAACGTTTCTTGCAATGACCTGTACTATACCTTGGAGACTGCTGGAAGAAAACTTGATAAACGAGTTAAACTCCCAACCCCTGTAGGATACCACGTATTCTGCTTAGGAGCCCAAGATTCCAGCAGCGTGGTATAACGATGGGCAACAGAAACCTGGACTCTAGTGTTCTTCCGTCCTGCCTGCATTTCCACAGACTGAACAATGTAACTTCTAAGCATTAATCGTTTCACCTTATGTAACTATAAGGCTCTAAATGTCACAGCAATGTCACCGTTATCTGAACTTATGAACTCTCCAGGAGCCAGGGTTGGTTTGCAAGTCCCAATGTCCCTATCTCAGGGAGCACATAAAGCTAACTTTTCTTCCGGTAGCCTGTTTGTCTTCCAGCTGTACCCTGCTCTGAGAAGACAGCAAACAGAACCACACCTGCTCGCGGTGCCGTAGCTGTGCGGCACTGTGGAAAGAATCTTAGTTTCCACCGCTGGTGCCTTCTCCGCCCACAGTCAGAATGCAGTATTTACTTAAAATAATAACCTGGGAAGAATAATCCACTCTACATAATGAAGGCTTGGATTGGGGGGGAGGGGTTAGAGCGCAGGTATTTCATTCAGACAACTGAAGACGCTTGGACTTACTCTAAAATGTCATATTGAACAATATGATAAAATAAGTCCCTACACATCCTAGCATTTTCTAAACCTATCGGTTGGCAGTTACCATGGTTCATTTATCGCGAGGGTAAGGAAAAGCGGCACAGTCAGTGCCGATTCCTAACAGTGACAGGCCTCAACAGTGACCTCCTTGGGTGCAATCAGTGCTCTACTCCAGGGTTCTGTACATGAAAAAGTAATAGGAAGAAGGATAGGGGATGTAGCCCAGTGGGTAGAGCACTTCCCACGCAGGCACAAAGCTCCCAGAAGAGCAGCAAAGAAGACACACTTCACTAGTAAGTAGCTACAGGAAACCTCACATTAACACCTTGCTCCTTAGCTTTCTCTTTAGGACCTAAAGAGGCAGGAGCCTCTTCTCATTCATAGAGTTCCTATGTACAGCCACAGCGGTGCTGCCTGTGTAAGGTTAGCTGACTTAGGGGCCAGGGAACCAGCGTGTCGTTTTTACCTGTACAAAAGGTGAATTAATTTTTACAGTGGCCTTGAACTTATAACTGTGTACATAGAGTTCCTCCCATTAGGAATACAAACAGTTCTCAGAATGTTAATCTGTACACGGGATTTAACTGCGCTGCATTCCCCATTTACATTCATTCATTCATTCATTCATTTGTTTTTCTAATCAAATATTTACTGAGCAGCTATCATGGAACAGAACTATTCTACCTGAGGAAAGAGAAAGGACAGGAGAGAGTACGCGCGGGGATAAACACGGCAGTAAGTGCTATGAAGAAAAACCACAGTTGCCTCGTCTATTTTCCTGACAGTTACTATAATCATCCGACCGATTTTCCTGACAGATAATAATGGGCTGTACGTAGACCACGACACAGAATCTAAATCATTTCTAGCGAAACTGAGAGCTCACGTTCAGTACACATGTGTATTCCAGTTCCAGTATTCTAAATATGAGTCAAAGGAAATAGAAAAGAAGCCGAGAACCGATGAAATATGACACGAAACAGATTTAAAACATCTGTTCTCCAGTCTGCCAGCTAAGCACATAACGGTGAATACCCAGTCTTTTTTTATTTTTTTTTTGAGGAAAAAAAAAAAGAGAAGGCGCGCGCGCACACACACACACACACACACACACAGTAATTTATGACATCACTTCTTATTTTAAAAGGCAAACACAATACGTGTTAAGAAATCCAAATAAAACCCCTTAAAATAATTTGCAAGAACGATGCATTCACTCCCATCCCAGCCCCTGAAAACACACTCCTCCAAGCTGCTACTCAACGCTGATGGGCGGGCAGGCAGGAACTTACTTTCCCTGACTTTGGCTCAGGGTCAAGCGCCCCGAAATCTGCAAGAAGAAGATAAAGGGTCCTCTACGCCCAGTTTCCATTAGGAAAGACAAGAAAGGGCGGCGCAATGACCTCGGGCAGCCTGCGTCCTGGAGACCCGAGGCGGTTGCTGGGGTCCCTTCGGACGAGCCCCGCTTCTCCACCTCCCCACCCGGTGAGCGCGGCCTCGCCCCGCGAGTCCAGGAGCCACGCTGTGGATGGATGGAGAGGTGCAGCGGACCGGTCACCAGACCAGACCTGCAGCGCCCACCTGGCTCCCGCCCGCCGCCCGGCCCCGGCTGCGGGGACTCTCACCTCTCCGAGCCCCGGGGCTGCTGCTGCTGCGACTGCTACCCGTGCTCGGGCTACCGCTGCCCGAGCCGCTGCCGCTGCTGCTGCTGCTACTGCTACTGTGGCTGCCGCCGCCCTTTGCGTTCTTGCGCGGGGCCATCGCGAGCTGCTCGGGGGACTGCAGAGGACGGGGGCCTTGCTGAGTGCGCTAGGGACACCGGGTATCTGCGATTCTGCAGCAACGCCTCAGCCTCCACCGTGTTCACCGCGCCTCGGAATATTTGCACCAGCGTGCGGCGGCTCAGCTAGCCTCGCGTGCGTACACCCTGCGGTTCCCTCGGCGGCCAAGAATGCTCAGCTACCCCGGCCTCAGCCCCGCCCCCGCCAGCCTCGGCCCACCCACCAGATCTGAAGGACGGCAATGAGACCCAATCGAGAGGACTGCTGGCAGGGGGTGTGGCCGGCTACGCTCTCCCCACCCCCGCTTCTCCTCCCCCAACCCCTTTGCAGGCCGAAGCAAGTCTGGTGCTGCGCAACGGTTGCAAAGCTCGAGCGGCATGTGGCTTTTTAGTCTGCCTTGGTCCTCTGGAACGTGGCAAACGTGGAAGCCCGCAGGGCTCTCGCGAGCATTGGCGCTCTGGTTCCAGCGGGATGGGGCGGGCATGGGGGCGGTGCCCGAGAGCAGCGCACCACCTCTTGCCTTCTTCCTGGGAATTTGGTTCCGGTGCCTAAGCACACGCCAGGAGTGCATGCTCTGTCTTCAAAAAGAATACGCCACAGTTTCATGAGTACAACATGATCGTTGGTCCTTTCGTTGTCCAAACAGGGATTTTTGTCATTTGTGCTATCAGTATCTTTGGAAACCTTAAGACATAAAAATGTTAAGACATAAAAATGTTAATATGACTCCAAAGGGGAAAAAAAAATTTCTTCTCTCCGAAATCTGCCCCCGCCAGACTAGTATCTACAGTTATGTAAAGTGTCCAGCCATGGATTTCCTCCTGTGCTTATGCATGTACTGGGTACTTGTGAGAATGGTAAAAATGGCAGCAGTTGGACAAACCAGCTAAAGATCAGCAGAAACTATCATCATTTTTGTCTCGCCCTTTGCTCACGTCGTGTCTATGACATAGGTGGTGATTTGATAAACTGCTGTCAACTTCCAGTGAGCTTCCCGAGTTCCGGACCACCTTGGAAGCACCCCCGTTGCGATAGAGATCTACCCCGAGTCCTTTCTTCTGTCTTGGGCGCCCCTTATTGCCCACAGAGGACATTATTCCAGCAGGAATAATGACGGGGATGGGAAGAAACAGAGAGATAAATCTCATTCGGATTACTTAAAGTAAGATGCTGAAATATAAACTACAATAGATAAATAAGTAAAAGACTCTTGTTCCGCAACACGTTTAGATTCTCACAAAACACTATTAGAGAGTTAACGTTTAGGGAGTCCAATCTAGAAATCTACAAATGTTTTAAACCATTATTCCCCAGCTGGTGATGCTGGTTTGGGAAACCCAGGAATCTTCAGGAGGTGGGACCTGGCTGTCTGAACCGGTGACTAGGAACAGACTTCTGAAGGTTTCAGGCTCTGCTCTCCTGCTGCCACAGGACCCCGCTGCTTCTAACAGTGCAGCCCACTCCTGCTATGACTTTCCTGGCCACAATAAAATCTCTCTGGAACTGTGAGCCAAAATAATCCTTTCATCCCTCAGTTTATGTCCTTTGGGAATAATAATAATCACAACAATGCAAAAGTACCGAATCTAATGATGTCAGGGAGCTGGCAATGGAGCGGTAGTGCTACATGCAGAATTACCTCCAAGTTGTTCTTCTTAGAAAAGGTCCTAGTGTCCCTTAGAGAATACTTTACCTGACTTCCCACTTCCTATAGCAAAGGCTTCGGGGATCATCTACACTCTCCCTAGAAAGACAGCCTGGAACCTGAGTGTGGGCACTTATCAAAGGTCACAGTATGGGGGAAATCGTATTTCTTTAACAGCTGTCCCCAAATGGCCAGAAAGTGGGGCTTTGCCCCTACATTCCCAGAAACTAAACCTGGTATCGTCTCAAGCAATAGGGACATAGCCACATCTCCAGTCCATTTCGCCAGGGAGCCTGGAGAGTTCCCCTTTTCTTTAGAGACCACCAATCAGGAAAAACCAGCATTTCTGGCTGTACTACAGAAAGTAATTTCAGGTTGAGCCAGCAAGAAACAGAGTTGGAGATTTTATTAAAAGAAAGTTTTAATATAGGTCTGAAGCAGAGGGCTTATTAGAAAGAAAGATGCTTAAGAAAGAGAAAAATAAAGCTCACCCAATAAGACAATAAGACAAGTGTCTCTAAGGGAGAGCTGAACGGTGGTTTCTTTACCATGAGTGTGTATGTGTTAGGTTTCAAACCAGACAAACTGCTAAGGTTCCTATTTAACATATCACAGCAGACACTGGTGGAGGTTCTTCTTGAATCCCTTAGTCCCTACCTGTACCTGAGCCTTCATAGCTAGGATACCGGCCCCATATCCTAACCTCTCCAGCCTAAAAACTGGAGAGTTCCCGTTGCCCTTCCCTATATAAACCAAGCATTTTGGTTACCTGGTCCTTTTGTCTGCTCTCTTTGGGCCTCCTGGCTGCTGTCCCTGGTTCTTTCTCTCTCCCTTTTCCTGTCCCCCACCTCCTCACGTGACTCAAGGACTTGTCCACTCTGAGCTCTCCCGATGTCCCTGCCTCTGGCTATGTTCTCCCACATACCTATAATAAAATTTCTCCACCATACCTAGGGCCAGTTATATCCTTTCCTTTTCATTTCTTTTTTTTTTTATTCAATATGGAATTTGGGTAGCTCTCAAGTTACACCTAGAGGTTGCTTAAAAAACCACTCCCCTTCTTCCTAATATTGTCCAAAGTCTGCAATTTGTATTAGGATTAACAGTTAAAGGGATTTTTCTTAATAACAAAGTTCTACAGTGCGTTTATTAGGTGCATCATCTAGGTCTAGGAGAGGGCAATGCTAGGATGTTGTAGAATATTATTTTAAGTAGGCAACAGTGTGACTTTTGTTTATGGGGCAGAATATTACTTTAACTATGTAAAAGTGTGTTACCTTTGTTTATGCTGCATCTGTTAATTATGAAAGCTTGCTTTGCCTGCCTAAGACACCTGACTGGTCTGATAAAGGGCTGAATGACCAATACCTAGGCAGGAGAAAGGATAGGCAGAGCTACCAGGCAGAGAGAATAAACAGGAGAAATATAGGCTGGAGAGGAAGGATAAAGGAAGATCAAGAGAAGAAGGAGGTAAGAACATGGGACACACCCAGGGTCACAAGCCAGGCAGCTGTCAGCCAGCCAGACACTGAGACAGTAAGAAAGTAAGAAAAGGTGAAAATCCCCAAGGCAAAAGGTAGATAAAAAGAAACAGGTTAATTTAAGTTAAAAAGAGCTGGCCAGAAAAGAATTAACTATAGCCTTGTATTAATTCAAAACTAATAAGTCTCTGTATCATGATTTAGGAGCTGGTTGATGGCTTAAAAGAAAAAGCCTGGTACACTAGGAATAGAAAGTTATACATCACTTTAACCCTAAGTAGCACAACCTAATTACTGCAACATGCTTGGTTGAGAAGTCTCTGGGGATATACTATCTGGACCTAAGTCAGCAAATTGTGTTGTCTTTAATAAGTTACCTTTTGACAAACACATACTGTCAAAGTGAGCCATTGGGTCCCTGTTCATGGTATCCAAATTCTGAAATCCCCAGCTCTTCTCCTTTCTCTCCCAAGCATTTTCTGTTCCCACAATTCCCTCCTTATATCCTTTCTCAGTACTATTAATGTATTTCCTTAAGCAGTATTGGCAAAAATAAATTTTGTAAATACAGATCATAGGAAAGAAGAGACTCGATGACATTCGTATGCTGAATGGTATAAAATTAACTTTATAAGAATGCTTACAGATTTGGGAATTGTGAATATACGTGGCTTTCTTTCTTGTACTAAACTTTCCACATGATGTGGTTAGAATGATGCATTTTACATTGTTTCTACTTTCCATTTTATGGGCATCAAAACTGTCAAGCTTGGGCAGTATCTGCATTCTCTTTCTTAAGACCATTCCTCCATTTGGTGTAGGGAAATATGGAGAATCTGTGTGTGCCTGACATTGCAGGAAAGGGAAAATGTCCTGTGTTAGCCTCTCCTTTTCACTCACATTTCCAGCGAGATGAACTCTGGGAAAATAATGTCAAAAAAACCATTAACGAAAACATATAAGTAAGGCAATATATCACAATATTAAGTCAGTGGAGTTCTTGCACGGCACCAAGTATGCCTTTCTGGCATTGTCCTCCCCTTCCATGGCTTCCCCAAGGTCTGTTAAGTGTGAGCCAGAGAGCACCATTTGTTTCGTTCCTGGTTTCTTTCTCTTTTCCTCCTGCTTGACCCTTCACAACCGCCAGTGAAACACTTTCAAACTCAGATCTCTTGGCACCAGCTTTCTTCACTCTGATATGAGTCTAAAGTTCCACTTTAACCTCTTGCTTGGAAGAGCCCCCATTAGTGTGCAATATAGCTAATGGAAGCATTATTATCACAAAGATGAGTCTTCCTTCATCTCTTTTTAATCTGGCATATTGATCTACAGCGAGGGGATGCATTTCGACTGCCCATGGTGCATGTGTTTGTTGTTATAGCTGGTGTGGAAGGGGTTGCAATGAGACTCATAATGGTAAAGACAAGTATTCTTTTTAAAGTGTATAATGTTTTCATTAATTCTTTGAGAGTTTTATAAAGTATAAAATGTATTTTGATTACATTTGAGCCTCTTGCTCCCCCAACTCCTTCCAGATCCACCCCTACAACTCTCACAATTCCATGTCCTCTGTTCTGTACATTCATAGTACACTGAGTCCAATTTGTGCCACCCATGTGGTCATGGGTGTAAGGTCATCTCCGTATGGCTGAGATGGTCATCTCCATGTGAGATCTTGGTTGACCTCACCAGGGGCCACACCCTTAAGGAAAAGTGACTCTCTTATTCCCCCGGAAGGCGTCAACTGAGGCCAGCCCTCAGTTAGTGGTGGGGGTTCATGAGCCCCTCCCTTCTCTGTGCTGGAATCTTGACTGTCCTGATCCTGCACAGGTCTTATCTGGGCAACAATAGCAACTATGAGTTCGTGAACAGAGAGGTCTTATGTGCCGGAGGCATCGTTTTGCTCCAGTCCTCAAGTCCTTTGATTCTTCCAATCCCTCTGCCTCTTCATCGCCTGTGTTTGATCTTCAACTGTGAAGGGTGAAATAGATGCTCCATGTGTGACTGAGCACCAAATAGACACTTGTTTTCTGCATGCGGACGGTTGGTTCTGTGTTAATCGCATACAGAAACC